TCATGTGCAAACTGCTTTGAGGGAAGAAGAGCACAATCCAGTTTAGAGCCTCATTTTAAATTATTCCTGTGCACTAATTTTCTGCTTCATTTTATTGACATAATTGATGCTATATTTCAACACATTTTGGAAATACACTGCAATGAGCGTATTTCCTTCTGATACATGTTTTTTCGAATAGCAAAGAAATGATAACTTATTACAGCGTATTTTTCATATGAAAGTTGACGTATATGTTTTTGTGGGTTTTTTTGTGCTATGATTCCTCTCTGTAAGCAAATACTGAATTCTGAAATCAAATCAGTATTGTAGTGTCTACTGCATATTACTACACTGGTACGCTTGGCATTCCAGTGGTATTTGAGAGCGTCCAGAAGAAATATTATTTCAGAGAGACGCTTAGCACAGATGGCCAAAGGTATCTATAGAAGTTACAACCATACAAATTTTTCTGAAATATGTACAGGAGTACCTAGAGGGAAATAAATGTTGCCGGATACAAACACCAGGAATTTCTATAGCATCCTCCTTCCCAGAAAAGAAAGTATAAAAATAAAATAAAAATTGAGGCTTTTGATTGCCCACTAAAGTACAATTGTTATTGTCATTTCTGAGCAAATGTCCTCCTTGTAAAAAACCTGTACACAGCGTGCACATTTTCTAACTTCTATGGTAGATCTTAGGAACAAAACTAAACGTTTTTTTAAGGGCAGCATAAACGTTGTACTGGGTTTATGTTGGGACTCTGGGTGGATGTCACTTAGAGCTATTTCCAATTCCAGAGTTTTACAAATTAATTATTGTTTACCTTGGTGATGTGGGTGCTGTAATAAACAACAAGTGACTTGATAAAGATGGCAGAGAATGACATTTTTGAGTCTGCAATTAAAACTCTGGAGTTCCTAAACTAGAGAACAAATGAGACTCTGACAGTGACTGTATCCATTTTTGGAAAAATTCTGTTATTTATATTAAACCTCCTCTATTCCAAGTTTTGTAACAAGTTCAACTGTCCCATAAAATGGCGACTAATACTCTGCTAGAGGGTAGGTACTGTGCAGCTGTTCCAATGACAAATACTGTAGGTAAAGTCACAGTTCAGTTTGCCTGCAGGTAGACAATCCAAAGATCATGCCTCTTCCAGTGCAAAATACAGAGAAAGATAAACCTTGTTTCCTGGCAGAAATTGCCATAAATTTCTCAGTTGGAAGTCCTGCATAACACCAAGGAAATCACTGAAAAGGCACCTGATTTACATTTGTATAAATGAGCGCAGAATGGCTGTCATAGATGTTTTTGCTTTTCCCTTCTCCTTCCCCTGTGTTGCATATTATTCTTCAAGAATATAGGAGAAATTATTAAAGATGACTCATCAAATTCCTTTAGATTCAGGTTTAAAGGCAGCCTAACAAAATGGCACTATAAACTCCCCCCTTATTAGTGCTGTACGTGCCTTTCCTGCAAGGCTGCTTCAAAGCAACACAGTTCTTTACAAAAAAGAGAGCCTGAAAATGTTTAAATTGAGTTTGTAATTAATTTCTTTTTATCTCTCAGATTCTCACATCTGGTTAATACAGTCCTCAGTTCAGCTTGTAATGGATTCATGACAGTTCTGGACTTCGTGAACCTTGAATCTGAAGGTAAACCTCCTGTCACTGGGCACCTGTGGATTCTCTCTCTATTTTTGCCCTTAATGTTGTCTGTTGCTATTCATAGTCTTTTTTATTTTATTTTATTTTCAGTCATGTGATGCAGTGATCTAAGTTCAGTACAGAAGAGTCTGTTGGGCTGCCAAAGCCAAAAGACAACCTACAGCAATTCTGAGTTGTGGAAGAGACATAGCAACCTTTGGGATTATTGCTTAGCAACTGCAAACACACAGAGGAGTAAAACTCACAGCCTGGCTCCACAGCAGGTCTGAGAAATCCCTAATTCACTCTAAGATTTTTAATGGTTCAGAACAGATGGGCATGTATTAAATTCCTGTTCATTTGCAAAGCCACTTTGAAAGCAGGAGGAGTAAGATCTATTTTGATACCTGCTCCAAAGGTAAGAAAAACAGTTCTTCAAAGCTTCAGAAGCAAGAGAGAAAGTCTTTTTAAATTTTAATTGTATTGAGAAGAAGATCATGTATGAATAGGGTATTGGGCTCTTTGTGATTGGTCAGATAAACATGCTCTATGAAGCACATTAGGGAAAGGCAAAACTATTTCTGAGCAATAGAGCGTCAAGGAGATTGGACTCTGTTTTTGAAAAGACTTTTGTAATTCAAACATCTCCAAAATATTTACCTAGACAAACTTTTGTCTTTCCTGGCCCCATCCCACCCTTCAAAATCCCCTAAAAGAGTAACAATGAAACCATAAAAATCTTATTTATGAGCAGATTTGGGTTTTGTACAGAAAACGGGGAGATAATCTTTTTGTACCAGCAGGGATTCCAGCAAGAATATTTCTCTCACAGAAAAGGAGCCAGGAAGGTGGCATCCTACTAAATAATGAATAGCTTATCTTGCCTTCAGCTTGAGCAAAGGCTTACAGGAAACTTTATATCACATTTCAAATTTCTTGGGTGTTTCTAAAGCTTGTCTCTGTGCACCATGCTTAATATTATTTGGACAATCAAGCCTCTACTTGGGAATGTCATAGGCCATGAGAGCTCCATTATGAGCCAAATTCTCAACTAATGTAAATCAGCACTGACGTTTATGAGCCAATGGTGTCTTATACAAACTGGAGGAGTGTCCCTGTAATCCTCAACAAATTCCAAGTTTCAGGGCCGCACTGTAGCACTCCTTTGTTGTTTATTTTAATAGTTATGTGCTGTTTGTATGTTCTTCCATACCCTCTTAGTCTTCTTTATCTGTCCTGCATTAAAGCAGTGGGCATAGTTCTCTATGCTCTGCTTCCACTCTTGGAGTTACACGAATGCCATGGAATTGAGACAGAACAGTTGCACTTAGTTGTTTTTTGTTTTGTTTTGTTCAGCAACGTGGAGATACTTTCTAAACATTTATGAATCCTCAAAATCATCCTAACAAATGGTTGAGAGCAGTGTAGAAAATATATTCATAATCATTCAGAATCAGCCACCTCATAAAGCAGAGTGTGGTTGTCACTTTAACAATGCACAGAAACTGCAGAACGGTTTCATAAAGGATGTTAAAAAATAACATAAGTATTTGAAACTGCAAGAACAGTTTATTTTGGCACAACAAAACCAGCTGATTTGGAATGTGACCAGAACATTTGGTCAACACCCTGCTTTGAACCAGGAAGAGTCTGGTTTTACAGCTTATTGAAAGAAACTCACCTAAGCAAGGAACAATTTGACAAGGTTGGCAGGTTTCCCTTTCTACCATTATAAATCTGGACTCCTTTACAGCTCATGTCCTTCGGTGGCAAAACCAGCTACCATCTTAAAACCCTCTGTGTGGGTCAGGCAGGCAGCTTGATCCATAAATCCGTCTCACTCCCCAGCAGGTAATCATCTTTGAAAACAAATTACCAGAAGATGCCAACAAGCCCATCGAGAAAACAGACATAGAAATTTAGTGCTGTGAAGCATCTTACCTATCCAAGCAGTATTTGGAGTCAAACAATGGTTATGAACCAGAAGGTCAACATCTTAGTAATTACATTTGTGTGCCAGGAGGGCTGTAGATCACATTTATGCATTTCCTGGAAGGCTGAACTCTCTTCAGAACAGCTACAAATGCTTAAACACGAAGAGCAAAACGTATCAAAAGCAATGGTATTGCTATGGATACTGAAAGGCCTGAGTGAAAAGCACTTTTAAATAAAAGCTTGAAAAGGATAGTGTGGCAGCAAGTTCAGAGTGGAGTTTCATCTTTAATTTGGAAGGGCGTTAGGCTCTCTCTACTAATATCACCCTTCCCTTGCTGTTGTTTAACACTGAGCTGGGTTTTTTGCAGCATGCTGGTGATTTTTCATGCTTTGAATCAAGTAGTTAGGCAACATTCTGCTCCATTCTGTATGTGTAAGTGCCATTACAGATGCAGACAGTTATGTGTGGAGACACATAGCAATAGTTTTCAAATTGTGCCTTGTGAGCAACTCGGTTTCTTCCTGATATTTCACAGAATGAACATTTTGAGAAGAAAACGGTAGAGTTTGGGAAACTGTAAAGGGAGATATCTGCAACTCGCTGTAGATCTGTCTTCTATAGAACAATCTACAAGATTAAGTGCTTGTGAACAGCTTAATTACAGAGTTCATGGTATAGTTTCCCTTTCTGTAGCAGCTCTGCTGACCCATACACCTGTGTCCTCGTTACCTTAACAAAATGTCCAGAGGAAGAAATAGTTGCCAAAGCTGAAATTAAGTAGTCTATGGGACAAGCTTCCTCACTGTTTTTCACAGCTACAGAAAAGATGAAGCAGAAGAAGGCATGTAGAGAAATCTTGCTCCTAGGCATCTAGTATTTTCCATTACTTGCTTCCTTTGTCTTATATCCACTGGATTTCCTGGAGGCATGGAATGGGACCTTAACAGAAATAACGATACTAGGGGTAAGAGGAATCCACTGGTTAGAACTGGGGGATAAGTCTTCCGAGCACTGTTTACCACTTGGTTTCTGAGTCTCTAAGTGACCTGGAATTAATCACTTCTCTTCTGTGTCTCAGTTTCTTCTCCCATAAGAAAGGAACACACTTACTTAGTTGCTCTGTCTCCAAGGGCTGTTGTGATGCATAATTAATCTTTATAAATCATTTACTGATCTTTGAAGTAAAGAGGCAGTATTTATTTAGGAGTACAAAGCAGCAGTAACAGAATAAAAAAGGAACATAGAAAAATTATTAGTTAATTCCTAACAATAGACTTTCTTCCTGTGTCATCTGCTAGGACACTGCTGCATCTTTTTACATTATATAACGTGCTGCTTTTGTTCTGTGTCACAGTGATTGAGGTATGGCTGCTCAGCCAGAAGCAGCAGCCCAAACTGCAGCTTTAAAACATCCCAAACGTGGAGGCAAGAATATGACTGCCACAGAAATGAAAAGAAATCAGGGGAATGATGAGCTGCCATGTCTTAGTAATTATGCTCCGTGGAAAGAGCAGAGGTGTCTGAGTCTGCAGGAGACAAAGGTGAAGATGATTCTTGCAGAAAAGGCAAAAGAAGAAAAGGTAAAGAAGAGAGAACCCTGTGACTGGCTGTCCAAAGAGTGGTTCAGTGAAGACAAAGAGTCACTAGATACTCGCATCTATTTGCTTGACAAACTCCTACCTACATTAATCGCAGGGATAGAAAAACTGTCAATGGAAGTGGAAAGAAAGAATGTGCTTGCACCAGACAAAGAACCAACCACATTTAACCCCATTAATTTTCTTGGAGAATACCTGATGAGACATAACCCTCAGTATAGTATTTCTACAAAACCAGGCCCATACCTGAGAGGAATGAAGATGGTCATGGAGGAGCTAAAAACTGAGATGCCAGGTACAACATCAGAGAGGTGAGAGAGTTGAAAGTGTGGCTGGTCACAAGACCAGAGCTGGTGTCTTGGTCTCTGTTTTACAAGAGGAATGGTGTGAGTGCAGCCTGGCTGGGGAAGTGTCGAACAAAATTAATCTTGTGGAGTACGGTGCCAGAGATGGTAGTTGTCTCTCATAAAAACTTGAGAAGCAGGACAAATGCCAGAACATGTCACACAAAATGAGACACTAGTTATTCCTGTTTAAGGTGATATTCTGCTCTTCACAAGTATATAATTCCTCTTTAGACTCTATCTTAATTACATATGTGGAATGCAAACTGCTTTCAAACCGGTCTAGGTTAGTGACAGCAGTTCTTTAGGACAGGTGTTAGTATCAAAGGTCTATGGACTCTTCAGATCATTTCTTGTCTATTTTTCCAAACTTCATAAAAAGATAACCTTTTTTCCTCCTTCAGGATGATTTTTCTTGACCAAACTAACAACAATATTGTCCTGGCACATTGTAGAAACTCCTGGAATTTTTACTTAGGCTTTCCTTTCAGATTCTTTTTTCCCTTTAAAGTAGAAACTGTTTTGTTTTTTATCATGTTGCTTATTTCTGGGGTGTATTCTAGGCTGCTTGCTTTAGTATAATATTTAATGAATATTGGAAGGGGATTCCATGGCATCTTACAATATGCTAAGGTTAGAATGTGAGTGCATTAGGTGAACAATAATGCTTTCATTTTCATTGCTCTATTCAGAAAAATATAGAAGTGAACATTTGTGTTTATAGATGACCCAGAGGTGATTGTGAATGATGTCAAAATTACTCATTCACTACTAGATCACTGTATTCTCTATCTGTGTTTGTAGAATAATGACTTCTATTTGAATGGCTGTCTCTTCTATTTGCATAAGTAGTACATACAGCTTGAAAATTGGTTTCAGGGTTTCAGTGTCAGGAATTAGGGAAGTAAAATGCTGACATGTCTTATACATAAACTGTAAATGAAGATAATTGAAGTTCCCAGTATTACAATGAATAAAAGAATATGTTAAATTTCTCTCTATTGCTCTGAGTTTCTGTCTCTCTACATTTCTAGTCCACATAGTGTTACAGTTCATAGGAACACGCCTTGTGTGAATACAACTAAAGCAGTGTGATAAGTGAATTTCATGCAGTCACTTCCGTCCTTTTTCCCCACAGATAAAAAAAATTGTATCTGAGTGATCGTGGTCAGTGTGTAAGAGTTCAGCTTTTTGATTTTTCTTCATAAGCAGACATACAGTAGTACAACCAGAGTTGGTAAAAGATTTTCAATTTTATTTTTTATTTTTTAAATGCTGGTCCACTGAAACAAATGATCTGGGGAAACATCTTCATTTTCAGTGAGCTTTCACTCAAGCACAGGCTGTTCTGGGGGGATGTTTAGGGTGCCAGCCTTGCCACACCTTTGTTTTGGGGACTGTTTCACCATTCATATTGCTTCACAGAGGAACACCTGGATGCAGGAAGTTCAGAACCATATCTCATTTTTATTTTGCAAAAGAAATTGAATTAAAATACATAAAATTTCCTGGAGGTTTGGGTTGGTTTTTTGTTTGTTTTGGTTTTGGGGTTGTTTTTTTTTTTCTGCTAAAATACTCTTAGCTTTCATTGTGAAACAGAGCTTATTTCTGTAGAGGTCAGATTTTCCTGTAGAATGCAAAGTGCTGGCTACCAGTGACATGTTATGTTGGCCTTGGCTGTTAAGTCCATGTTTACATTTGGAGACAGGTTCTCCATCTGTAGCTATCGCAGCTGATGCAAAGGAAGTGACTATCAAGACTTGTAGAAATCAATCTCTCCGTAGATAGCACTGCCATGGGGGTTTATGTAGCCATAGCTGTAGCAGGTTTTGCCTATCCGCTGGTAGTAGTATCATGGGATTTGCATTCACAGCAGCTCAGGATTTACATATTTGTGATGGCTGTGTTATGGGATTTGCATAGGATTCTTAAATCACAGCAGCACAGAGGATTTTACTGACACCATGTAGCACTGAGACTCCTAATGTGGGTCATTGGCTTTCTAAACAGGAAAAAAATTTTACAAAAGAAATGCCAGTCTGCACCCAAAATCTCTCACATAAGCACCAGAAAGATGAGGACTGAAATTCTGGCCCCAATGAAGCTCCTGGGAGCCTTGACATTACCTGCAGGAAAGGCAGGATTTCACCACAGGTTCTTTCCTAAAGCTCACCAGTCCTCAGCGAGCTCTCTCAGGCTTCCTCCAGCCTCTCCTTAACTGCCACCTGCCTGGGAGGCAAGGCATGCGGGGGAACAGATGGGAGAAATTCCTTATCCAAATGGATTGATACCTGAAACAGAGACTTTATTCGTTCAGGGATAGTAGTCCTTCAGTCTGAGTCACCCATCCTTGTGTGGGAGTTAGGCAGCTGTCTTCCTGAAGAAACATGTTTCATTCTGCAGGGAGAAGTCACCCTCGCTGCCATCTCATCTTCTCTGGAAATGTCTTATACTGAAATGAGCTCACTTTGAAACGAGTCCCCAGCACTGTTATAGCCTGTTTTGCCATTGTTGTCTACGGGAGAAACATTTTGTGCCACAGCAGAGACACCAGGCAGAGGATGCAGCTGCCTGGTGTTTTAGGACCCTAGAAATAAATGCAAAAGTGCAGCACAGCGCAGGTGCAGCACAGAATGTAAATTGTGCTGGGCACGTCCCAGATTTCCCCAGCACTGTTATAGCCTGTTTTGCCATTGTTGTCTAGGGGAGAAACATTTTGTGCCACAGAGGATGCAGCTGCCTGGTGTTTTAGGACCCTAGAAATAAATGCAAAAGTGCAGCACAGCGCAGGTGCAGCACAGAATGTAACTTGTGCTGGGCACGTCCCAGATTAATCACCAGAGCACCTTGGCAACTCTTAGCATGGCCTTAGCTCTGTTTCCAGCTTGCAGACCGCTCCTGAGGAGGAGCTGCAGCTGGAAATGGTCTGGTTTTCTCTTTCTGTCTGTAGCATACATTGGAGAAAAGTCTGTTAGTCTATTTAGCTTGGTACCTGTTACATACCTCCTCTTCGCTGTGTCTGAAGGAGTCAGAAGACAGGAAATTATTTTACCCTTCCTCTGCTATTAAAGTGCCAGAGGCTGAACTGCCTCAGCAGGCACTTGTGCAATGCCCACAATTGATTAAGGAACCCAGTTATTCATTAAGAAACCTTGGTGATAAGTGGCCATGAAGAACAAGTACCTAGTGATAAAACTGACTGTGGTCAAAGTGTATTGCTGTAACATGTTAAATAGGCCTTTCTATTCATTAAAGAAAATATAAATTGTTTTGTAATTTCTAGGATGACCCCATAGCAACAGAAGAGAGCAGGGACAGGATCAGCCCATCTTCACAATATGTGAAACATGGGGTGGAAGGGAGCAGAAATTGTTAGTTAAAATACAGTTTCTGGACTAGTGTGTTCTCAGGTACAAACGAGGAGCAGTTCCCCTTGCTCTGACTAGCTGTAGAGGGTGTAAGTGAGAGCCGCAGGGGTGAGCAGGGCAGCTGCTGCAATGCAGAAAGGTTCCAGCAGCCTCCGTGAGCAGGAACCGTTCTCCCCATATGAACTGATCCTTTGGCTTTAAGCATTTTGAACTTCCTAAAGGCTTTTTTTCCATTTCATAAATGAACAAAGTCAAAACCAAAGCAGATGAGTTCTACGGCATCAATTTTATTCAGTTCTTTTGTTGTGCGAAATGGAGGATTAGGAAAAATATGACTGGGTGATTGGAAAAGCAAAGAAAATGGAAGGAAGAGGAAAGGGAGGTACTTTTAGTCCAAGCTTGCAAACTTTATGCATTCAAAATGACGGAGAGGTTGGTGTATTATCCCTGTCCTAAGGGAGTAAGGACTTTATTGTGTAAGACTGCTTAAGAAATTTCATTGAACGTTGTTCTTTGCCGATGAAGTGCTCATGTGAAATGGTACTTAGGCTTTGAGACAAATGCATACTGATGCAATTTTGTTGGTAAATCAAGTGTAGCAAAATTAGGCACCTCTGTTCCTGCTAAAATTGAAAGAAAATTGAAGGACATCTACACAATAAATGATTAATGCCATTATAAATGTGAAGGTAAAATTTATCACTGTTGAAACTACACAAACTAGGAGAGCTGTAAAGATGATTTTCCCTTAAATGTCTACCGTATACTCTACAAGAGGCTCTCTCCACATGCACGTATCTGACAGTCAGAGGTTATTTCTTCAGATTCATAGTTACACTAGATTTCAGGAGATGATACATGTCAGGATATAAATACTCTCACCTCCTTGGAGCTGCCCTCTGAAAACACGGATTACTAATCTAGTCCCATAGTCACACCAGTAATTTTGTGCCCCAAACACCAAGTGTTTCTTTGGAAAAAAATCTGCTTGTACTAGAAGGACAAGAATTTCAGTAAGAAGTTATTTCCTTTCCTTTTGTTCTTCCGGGTAGGCTCAATCTAGCTTAAATATGTTTATGATGGTATCTTTCTAAACCATATTCCCGTGTCCTACAGGCTGGCCAGGATGAAGTCTGAGGCAAAGAACAAACGTAAGGAAAAGGAGCAGGTGGACAATATGAAGTCTCAGGTGAAAGAGATGAGAAAGGAGGAGCTGGCAATTCAGTTCAAAGAGTGGACAGTGGATGTCAGTGGCAGAATACCGGTTGCACTGGTAACTAGAGATGTTCCTTGTTAACACACTGCTATGATTGTTCCAGACAGGAGGAAAAGGAAGTTTGTGATAGTGCTGTCTGCCCTGGCATGGCAGCATGGAGCACAGGGATGGATAATGGCTCTGACATCCCTTAGGGTCAGGGTGCAGGCCACTGTCTACCACTTAGCCTCACGAAGCCCTGATTCCTCACGAGCACATGGAAGGATTGCGATGCATTCTCCACAGAAGTCCTGGGAAGCTAAACGCCCCGTAAGGTACTCAGACACTCCTGAGGTTGTTGGATACATACCTTATCACTGGATATCCTTCTCTGCAGCTGGTTATCCCTCAGAATCCCCTTAAAAAGGCCCAGGGCAGCCACTCTTGCACTCCTGTGGCCTCCATTAAATCTTCTTTCTGCCCCTGTGACTCATAAAAATTGATACTGCAGCTCATAAAAGATGAGATTTGCAGTAATTGTAATACATCTCTTGGTACAAGCATCTTTCTTACAAGTCACACAAGGCCCCTAGGAAATTGTGCTGTAGTTACACACAGCACAACATAGACAAGGTCTACATTTAACATGCGTCGTAAGAAGCACTGCTGGCCCATACGACTAATTATTCTGGATGATTTATTTTAGTAATTGCCTACTGTTTTCTGCATGAAACAGGCCTTTGACTATTACCTTGATTTGCAGGTTCAGAGTGCCCTGAGGTCTTTTCCAGATGTCATTGCTTCTACTCCCATAGATATGAAAAAAGGTAAGTTTTCGATGTGTCTTCTTCAGTTTCATTTCTGTGGTCTGAGTTCTGATGCAAACTGTGAGCAAACAGTGAATGGATTTGATAATAGAGAAAGAATCTCTAAGGGTAGTTACACCAGCTAGGATATTAGCCACCAATCTTCAGGCAGATTGGAAAGAGACTGAGCCACCATGTGGTTCATTAATATGATCTTGAAAAGTATGGAAAGAAGTTTAAAAAATCTTTTGGAGAGATAGAAAGATCAGATGCAGGCCCTTTCCACCTACATCCTGCATTAGCCAGATATTGCCATGTGCTTATCATGATTTTTAACAATCACTGTAACTGTCCTTCATCTACTCTATTCCACGGTGTTCCTTGTCTCATGGGAGGTCTTGGAAATCCCATGGACAGCTTGGCATACTGGAGGTATGGAGGAAAGGTAGGATCAAAAAAATTAAAATCTGACAGTGTTGTTACCTTTTATGGTTTCAGGGAAGATGCTGAAGCTTACCTAACGCTCCACCAAATCACACATCTTGTCTAGCCGTTCCCTTTGCCAGTCCCAGGCATGCCAGTGACACACAGCACAAGGGCCTCTGTATCGGAGCACTCAGCACAGAAAGATTTCCATAATTCCTGTCCACTTTACATAGCTTACACTTGACCTCCCCAAATAATGATAATTGAATAGATAGAGCCAGGAACATTGAAGTGGCAACATACAGCCTGCTGCCAGCCCTTTACATCGATAGCCTTATAATGATCATGAATAATAACAAATCTGCCTTTGCTGGAAGATGGGATGATAAGCAGGGAACCGCCAGAGTGCATTTCTGCTTGCTGCTGAAGTCACCTCTGTCCAGAGCTTGCCCTTGCTCAGCCCTTTCTACATTACAGAATTGTTCCTCTGAGTAATCATCCTATATTGATAGTACGTTGTGCGAATGCCAAACACAGCCCTTGTGCTCCTGCTGTGGTGGCTCTGGTTCTCCTGTGTGAACAGATACTGGGACGTGAGTTTGAGAAGGAAGTTTCTGTCCAGATGTTGCTTTCCAGATGCTGGAGGTGCTTTATGTCATATTTCACTAACAGTGTGGCTCCATTTCTTGATGTATTTCATTTAATAGCATCCAATATACATTAATGGAACATTAAGCTTTGTTTTATAGTTTAATAAAGATAATGTGCTGTTTAGGAATATCTTAAGCAACAAGAGATAAATGCATGCTATGGTGAATTTTCTCTTTATTCCTGATATACTGTAGAAGAAAGAACAGAAGAATAATCCCAACACAAAAATAATCCCAACAGAAATAGCATGTCTGTGCTCAAGGACGTCATTCAGAAATCTATGTAGACAGTTGACATACCTTCTCAGTTCCATTACAGCAACCCAGGAGCTGACCAAAAGATAGTTTTGAATATCATAATCAGTAAAAATATTCCCACAGAGCTTCTTGGGAAAATTACTGACTTTCAGATGCCACTCTTGCAAAGCAGAATCCATGTCCCCAGAATTTTAAGGCGGTTTTATCTGTTTGTTAAATCAAAAATCATTTCTTCCCTCACATAATTAGTTGTAAGTACTGTTAAAATCATTGCAATTTGCACCAACGTATGTCAAGAATAAATATGACCATACAGTTCTGAATAGGTAAGTGCAGATTCTCAGCAAGAGAAATATGTAAGAATCAGATTTAGATAGCCTCTATACAGTCAGATGCTTCAGCTTTGTGTAGGATAACCTCAAATAAACGTAATCCAACACGAGAAGAAAGTTAATGTAATATAACAATGTGCAAAAAAATGTGTACAATATGCAAAACCACAACTGTTTGCTTTCTAAACCAATGTCCCTTCATTTTTTACTAGCAATCTATGACAGGAAGCTGGAAATCGTAGACACATTGGAAAAAAAAGTAAACATAGATGAATTCACAGAGGTGAGAAATGAAATAAGAACATTTGATTCAGAATATGATGTTTATCACAAAGCGGTAGCATTTCCCTGGGGACAGCTAAGATCAGTAAGTGAAGGGCTTCACTTCTCCAGCATCCCAGGTAATTGGTTGTATCAGGACATTTCATGTTCCATCTCCGTATCCATCAACCCTTCCATTCTGGCCAGCAAGGGGGAAGTATTTTGCTTTCTTCAGAGCTGCAGCCTGTGCCGCTCTCTGAGAAGTTACTCTAGAAGCAGTGGGTTTTAGGACATCCCTCCCAGTCCCTTTCTAGAATGCCAAAGCCCTGAATCATCGGTGAATTCAGATTTTGTGTTGGCTGCTCAAGGGAGGTTCGGTGTCCCAATATAAGCATTAGCCTGAGGTAATTAGTACTGCTCTCAAAGTCGTGTTATTTCTGATTAAGTTCTATTAACCATAGAAAAACCTAACAAGTGATGAACTGGGATGAGAAGCTCTACCATTTTTACCCTGAACTATTACTGGCCTGAACCATAACCAAACCGCAACAAGTGTCGTAAGTGTGTGAGAAGCATAACCAGGCTGAAAAATACGCAGTTTTAAAATCAAAAGCTGTCATTGAGAAACATCAGAAGTGTGTTTGTAACTCACCAAAATCAATAAATGTAGTTGGAAGTTTCATCCCATTACTCTACTCTTCATCAATTTGAAAACAACCAAATCAGTACAAACTATATTTGCTGAAAAACTCTCCAGGCCAAGACTTTGCCAGCCATTTCTACCTACGACAGAGCTAAATTCTATGGCTGGGTAATTAAACCTGTGAAAAGGGATGTTTAGAATAGAAATAACGACAGACCCTCAATTGCAGCAGTGCTAGTGGGTGCTGTTACAATAATTAAAAACAGAGTATAAAGCAGCTGTGCAGAGACTAATTTCAAGCAACCATGTGTGATTTTTGTGCCTCTTCACTCCCAGGAGACTCACATGTTCAGTAGTTTGCACAGAGATGCATTTTTATGATAACTTGTTGAAGGCTTTTTTAAGCATGAAATGAGGTATTTTAAAATTTAACCTCAGAATAACTGCATTTAATTAAGAAAACTATTGTGGATAATGGGAGCCCACAGAATTGCTTTTGTCACTGAAATAAAGCATCAATCCATAACCCCTATGGTACATGTATAAGCACTGAATGAATTCATGTTCCATTAGCATTAGAAAAATGTTTAAAAATATATTTTGTGTACTCTTTATTTTAATGCAATTAAAGAGATGACAACAGAGATCAGAAATACAAAAGACATGGACTGTCAAGCTGCCTGATTTACCAGCCAGTGCAACGTTGTTCTCAGAATATATTCTCTGATGCTTTTTCCAGTCCGGTTTTAATTGAATCAAATGATGAGGCTTTCATCACTTCCCTTGGGAAACTGTTCCATAATCACAGGCCTTGCTCTCAGGACAGGGCTGTTTCTAATCCTCAGCTACTATTTACCTTTGTTCATCAGTTTGCATTATCCACCAAAACCAGAAAGAGAAATGATCTTTCTCCGCACTGGTCTAGGCCCTTTCGCATGTGGAAAGCATTGCTTTTTAATAGACCTTAAAATTAAATGGCACTTTAAAATTAAATGGCACTTTTTTTTTTCTTCCTTGAATTCAGTGCAGCTTTGGGTTACTTAAAGGCTGTTAGAAACTCAGTAGAGACCTCATACATTGTTATTAATTGGGTTTTGGGGTTTTTTTCCAGACATGCAAACAGTGGCTGTTGTATTTTTACATCCTTCGTGACAAGCTCTTGGGGTCTTTTATGTTAAAAGCATTTAAATCCCAGAGACCGCTCCTTAATAGTTTATTTCACAGGCTCTGTACTCTAACATGCAGAACCCCCAGCAGCCTGACACAAAGCTATTGACACCAAGGAAATACTCACATTGCTTTTGTAGGGTCAGAATCAGTCTTTAAAGGTGAGATTATTTTCCATGATTGCATGTGGCTTACTCGATTTCTATGGAGATCAGTAGGAACTAAAAGCAAAGATCCATCGTTATTGATGATAACGTGTTCACAAACTGCAGCGAGATCTCACACTGGATAGCAAGAAGGAGGTGTGCCAGCTTTCTTCTGATGGGTGTCAAAATCTCTTGGTTAATAATAAATAAAAGTATGCTTATTATGTGTACGGTACTTTACACAGTAGAGTGCTTCACACAGATCAGCTAAGAAAAGCTTATGACTCTACGATAGTTCCTCCTGCCCACATAGCTGAACATACGCTTCTAAAAAATTTTCTGTGGAGCTGTTAGACAGCAGTATTAATACACAAGTCTTTGGATATGTCACCAAGATGACATACAAAATAACAAGCTGCTTGTCCAACCTGCCTCCTCCCAACTGCTGTCATCTTTAAGGTTCATCTGTCACAGGGCTCCGGGTTGTAATAGCTCTGAAAAGCTAGTAGATACACGTAGCCCCAGATCTGCCACCTTGTCTCCAACCCACCTACATCCTCTCTTTTTATGCTGAAATGCAGAAAAAACATACATTGCATTAGGAATTCTTCTTTCCCACCAGCCACCCCTCAGGCCTTTGGCTGCTGCTTCTCTGCTCTTCCTCTTTTCTCCGCTTGTCCCATATACTTGGAAATTATGCAATATAGACATGAATAATAATAACATAAATTAATATTTCAGTTCGTTAATGCCTGTGCGGCATTTCAACAAGTCCAAGATGTTCTAGCACTTATGTCAGATATCCATACTCTAAAAATGGGATAATGGGAAACATTCTGTGTTTTGCAAATTCCTCCTTTTAACCGTATGGGCTCCCTGTTACAGTGGCTGGCTCCAGAAACCTGCTATAATAATTCAGCACAGGCTTTGGGATTGTGGTTTGTTCTGATGGCCATTATTATTTATGTCATGCACACCACATTTTTAGAACCATATTGCTTTTGCTCATAAAAACCACATGGCTATAAATCCAAAGTGTTAAAGTGTCTCCAAGGCTAGAACTTAAAATAAATCTCGAGTCAGTAGTATTCCCAGTGTCAGAGGACCTAGGTGACAGCAGGCTCATTTTCAAAAGGTTCTTTCCTTTTTTTGTTGTATCCAGACTGGTTCTCTAAACACTGAGATTGTGGGCAATGGTCATTTTGTGGCATTAGAGAGTTGAGTGACTGTCAGTTCTGCAAAAACCAATGGCTCAAAATGCCTCATTGGGAGTAAAGTCAGGAATACTAAATGCTGCAGAAAACCATGGAGAACTACTATCCTCCCTGAGATAACCTAGCTTAAGCAATGACATTTCATAGGAGGGGTTCTGATCCAGCATCTCTGAACCACTGAACATGACAAGTGACCTCTGGGCCAGGAAAGGAGCTGTTGAAGATGCATTTGTGCAGTGCCTAGCGCAGCAGTGTCCCAGGCTTGTTTGGAGAATATTGCTGCTTCTGAAAGAAAGAACAAAGTAGGCAGTGTAGCATCCATGCACCAAGTTTGCATTACGTTAGCAGATTAAACTACAAATTCATTGCATGCAGTAGATTTTTAAGAGTTCAAATAAAGGTGAAAATACTTGAAGAAAGCTAACCATTTACACTACTGCTTTTTCTCCATAGTATGTCCATTCCTACACTGAACATTTTTCAAATGACATGTTCCAAGAAATCCTGAAGCATCTCTGTCAGTGTGCTGATGACTTCCAAGAAGCAAGAAGACATGATATGCGGAGGCAAATGTTTACTGATCTCTTCCTAGATTGTGATTATGGAAAGGTAGGCAAAGCAGCTCTCAACCTAATTTCAATATGGTGATGCTTCCAGTTTGATATTTCTCTGGGTCACTGCCGCCTTTTTATTCTTCATGACTCCAGATGCTCTCTTTGTGCTTACTCAGCATTATTTTAGTGGACAACAGCTGCTGCATTGTCTTCAAATTCATAGTTCTTAGACACAGAAATAGTCAATAGCCTATAAGCTGATGGCTAATTAGAAACAGAATGACCTAACTTGATGACTTGGGGCTGAAGTTTGATGGTTCTGGAGAAGAAATGAACCACGACCTTTACTACTTCTGGTCATTACCTGTTCCTCCAGCACGTTCAGAATGTTTGGGTGCTAATTTGTCTATTCAGATGTATTTCAGCAAAGATGACCTGATATAGATTGATCTTAACAAATGTGCACAGTACTACAATAGTAACATATATTGTGTTAATTATGTTGCATTAATTTATACACCTTTAAGGCTTCTATCAATAAGTCTCATAACAGTTTAAATTTAAAATGCAAAATAATCTACCTTTACAACTTCTCTGAGAAAAGTACTGTGAACTTCAGCCACAGTTTATAGACAGGAAATTAAAATACAATGAGTCAGTTACAGAGCTGGAAATGGAACTCAAAAGCCAAAATTTGGTTTTCAGCAGCTCTAAACTCTATCTATCATCTTCTGAATACACCTGCATCCCTATTTAAAAAAAAAAAAAAAAAGCTAGACTTATTAGAAAACCAGTAAATAGTAGGAGCTGAAGAACCAGTGGCATAAGCTATTGCTAAAAACTTGGTTTTCATCCAAAATGTATGGTACTTGTTATGAGTAGCCTCAGTTAGCCAATTGCTGGCTACTACACAGCAAGTTGTTGCCATAATCTTACAGTTTTCTCTCCTACATAAATTATATATTCCATCCAGCACTCCTCTAGTGATGTTTACAGCATGCCTACCCAGAATGAACTGTGCTCTACAATGTCATGCTAATAATGTCATTACCTCTAAGAGAATGGGATTACAGAGCACGTTTCAACACCAATGGTGTGTTTTAGAGAATAGCAGGCAAGCTGCTGTTTCAGGGATGAGGAAAGAAATGTGTCTACTGCTCAGTTAGAAGACATTTCATTTTCCTATTGCTGTCAAGAAGAGCTATGACGGATCCTCCAGGGTAGAGTAATATATAAAGCCAAGTCCTATCTTTGCCATGCATTTTGAAAGGATCCCTTCTTTCCTTTTCACGTTTTAATGTGACTTTCTTCCTATTATTTCTGTGGCAGTAATCACCATCTCCATGCTGCTAATCCCAGTGGAATCTCAGAGGCAAAGAGCCAAAAACACTAGCACAACATAGCAAGAGTGAGCAGCTATCAGCATAGTCGCCATCGCTGCCCAGAAAAAAATGATCAGAGCACAAACATCGTTGCTGTTTCTAGCCTCCGAGGTAGCCTCGCTCTGCAAATTGAGTTCACTAAACTGTAGTGTGGACCATGCAGTTCTTTTAAACCTGACCTGATTTCTTTTGTATAGCTCTAATAAGTCCTGCTGTACTGCACCCACAGGGAAGATAAAAGATGCAAACTAACCCAAGGACTTCTACCACTTGAATGTGATCCATTACCTGTAGTACTCATTCTGCAAAGCACAGCAAAGCAGTTGTTTCAGTTCCTAATTTACATTTGTTTGGTAGCAGGCAGTTATTCCAGTCTGCATGGTGAGTGTGGCTGGCTGCCTCAGTGAGTTGCAATTAGGGAGCTGAGAAAGCAGTGTTTAAATTACAGTCAAATTAGAAGGTATCCACATGATCATTATTATGATTTCAAATGCATGCATCCAGAAGGATGGCAGCTCAGCAAGAACAGCCTGGACTATACAGTGTAGCAGAAACTTTCCAAGACAATACCAGAATACAGTTGAATCACTGCTCTAATGCCCCAAAAGGCAATAGCTGTGAATTTTAAGCTTATTGTCTCTCTGTGCTCATGTGTATCAAGTATAGTTTCTTTTACACATCATAACAGAATCTGCATTAATTCTCAGGCATGTTTTAAGCCCAGGATCTTTAAATGTAACTGAATTTAGTCAGAGATTAGTTTTCAAACTAATGAAGTTTGAGACACTTCTGATTACCTTTCTTGCAGTACAGCAACAAGGTCTGCTTTCTCATGACCTTTTCTGAGTGTCTGTTCTTCCCATCTCGCTCGCTGACAAGCATATTGTGGTGTTCAAGATACACACATCACATTTCCAGAAAAACAATCAAGCGGTTAAACACTGACCTATCACCGATTAAATGGCAAGTCTGGTTTAGTCTGTGTTGCTAAAGGAATTACTCATAGATCACAGAGCACTGCTGAAAACAGCTGAGAATCATCACTTGCCAATATCTAGGTGACAAGAAAATTAGGTCAACATGTTTCGACTCTCTAGCCACTAGAGTTGGCACTCGTTAAAAGCGGAGACAAGTTTTGGGCAGTTGTACAAACACAGATGGTCTGCTTTATTTATGGTGGATGCTATACCTGTCCCGCCGACAAGACTCAGTACGAAGGGCTGATGGGCAGGAATCTTTCATCAGCCTCCCCAGTCAAACACAAAGTACAAAGAAACACAACCTTTGCTAGTAAATTTAGAAACCCAGAAAGACAGCGTAACTGGGTATAGGACCTTGGAAATGGTTTTCCTGTTGTAATGCTCCTCTTTCTATAGATAGTTTTACGGTGACATGTTCCTTCCAAGGTAAGATGTAAGGAAAAGTGTCCTGAAATAACAGAGACTTCTGGTAGAATGGCAAATCTATATAAATTGTAAATGTTAAAACAAGGTGGAAAATATACCCCTAATTCATACTCGGTAATTTCTGAAAAGGAATTTACTATTTTTAACAATATATAAAAATAAAATTTTTTCATCTAAATCACAAAAAACCTCTCCTAGAATCTGAGTTATCTAAACCCTCCAAGTATATAATTTTAACATGACAAAACAACTTTTTTATTTTCTTTTTAATAATACTTCATTCACTGATTTACCGTTTTAATAAAATAAAACTTCATATTAGTGCTGCCGGCTTCAAGGCAACCAGCAGATGATTGTGACAAGTAACAGCTGAGGAAATTTAAAGAGAAAATTAAGTGTGTGTAATGGAAATACTGAATGGAGAATCCAAATATTACACAGTGATCTGGTAACATCTTCAGAAACATGTTCTGTGTTTGTGTATCTACTAAATGGATGTAGAACCCGATCTGATATATTCAACTGAAAAACAAACAGCCTAAAGAAATGTTTGTATGGGAGCGTGCAAGATATTTGTATATTAATGTCGAGAAGATGAAGATACTGGGAATCAGGGCCTACATCTTGTAAGGTTAGGGACAGAATTACGTGATGACATTTTTTGTTCCAAACCCATACGTGGCTGAAATTCAACTGTAATTTCCAGCATTTTTTTACTAGCAGGAATTAAGTTACAGGAGTCAGAAACACTAAAACTGGACTGGCAACAGGTTACATTTCAGTTCTGATCCTTTCCTCAGAATTTGCAAAAAGCTTTCAATCCCCTTTAGAGGAAAGGTGTTGCAGTAACAGAAAATGTGATGTGTTCACTTAGTTTTCAGTATTAGCTTCCTCAGGAGGCACTTCACCAGTAGGTGATGGGTATCGCTCAGTTGTTTTCAATTCCTCTGTTCCTAAACATTGATGCCATTAATTACGGTTTTAGATTGTAAACAATGCAGTCATCTTGAGCTCATTTCCAGAAAAGAGCAGCAAACTTCTGCCTTTATTTCTTCAGCCAAAGGGCAGGAAAAGTTCACAAGGAATTAAAAGCTTGGTGAATTTTACATTTTGCAGTTTTTAATCTAAGAGCAAAATATGAAAAGGAAATCAATAATTCAGATGGAAAGGCACTTGCTACAAATAATGAACTTAAGTAAATCTGTTCTCTAATTAACTACTATATTTCACTAATGGGAGAGAGATTACAAAGGTGGCAGGACTTGAATAATGACAACAGGAATTCATCATAAAATGGAAAACTTACATTCGTTTAGATTTGCCTTACTTTTTAAACTTACAATTTCCTGATTGGAAATGACCCATTTCATTGTCTTTTCCTGGTTTTATTGTCTGTATACACTCACCCTGAGCAACAAGGACTTAATAAACACTGCATGTTCCTCTGCACTGGAACTACAGATACCTCTCTCACCTCTACGGTCGAATGTGTATGAATTTTTAAAGGAAGTTAGGGAGGTTGTCATAATAGCTCAGATTTTTGGACTAATTATTTTCCCAGGCAGTTGCCAATACATAACGCTTCAAAGGAAATGATGGGGCACAAAACCAAACTACAATGTGCAGTCACTAACATAATACAGCACAGCCTATAATATGTGAAAATTCTTCCATAGTACTGTCAGGCAATCGGTATCTGTCCTGAAAGTGTGCAGTGTTGAAGCTTTGATCTTTACATGAAGAACTCCTTTGGCAAAAGTGGTTACAGTCATCTAACTGCAATTTGTCAAGAGGTTGTGCCTGGAAAGTAATATATATGAGGAGTTCCAGCTAAGCCCAGAGAATAAATTTTTACCCCTATGAAACAAATTCACTTCTTTGAAATTTGTACTGATGTTCTGCTAATGGATAATTTTCAGTCACATGTAATTCTTAGCTAATGGTGCCTTTGTAGTGCTGCAAATGTTGATGTAAGTCCCAGAGGAAAAACCCAGTAATTGTGATCTTTTTGTCTAGGTTGGTCTCTTAGACAGACAAAAAATACTTGCCCTCCTGGCAGACTTCTACGACAGAAGCCCTGTGATTGCTAAGAGGGGATTCTGTAACCCAAGACAGTGTAAGTATATGGGATGTTTCAATTGTGGTTAAAACATTAGGAGGTCACATGAGGTTGTATAGTTAATACATATTTTACAAACGTTACCAGAAATGGACAAAGCCTAAAAAAGAACCCAGACAAATGCTGTGACCTATACACCATAATTTGCAAACATGTTTTGCAAACTGCGATGCGATGTTCAGAAATACTTCAGCATCCAAAACTTTTCCTTCCTACAAAATTCTGAAGTCCTTTTTGGAAGTAGGATTAAAGAAAGGCTACTTTTCCTGAAACAATTGTTCATTCTTACTGGGCAATATTAGAACTTAATTTTGTGTTTACACTAAAATTTCTTCAGGAACATGGAAGGGTAAAGAAAAAACACAGAGAATCATCTACATTAAAGTAAAATATTTTTAAGATATTGGACATTAATTAATTGCTAAGATCAAATGCAAGGCAAATTACTGCTTTCCTTCTTAGTATGGAGAATTACGAAACATATTTATTTCAAAAGAAATATGGTGTAATACGCAATAACAAGTGCAGTTCTCTGCAGGCAAAGACATTATTCTGAAGTTTTGTGTTTCTGAGATGCATGTTTGCAGAAGGTACTTTCTGAGAGTTTATATTTGCTTGGGAATACCTTTTTCCTTTAAATTTTCTTATGCAATACTAGAGAACATAAAACTAAGGCAAACTATAATCTTATCAATATTTTTTCTATTTTAGGGCCAATAAGTGAGCTGCAAGAGATTGAGCTTGCGGAGTTATGGGGAGGCCTTGATGACCAGGAAGTTTGTGAGGAACTCAGTGAAACGTTAGTCTTGTCTCAAACAGGAATTTCTGAGGGAGAGATTTTAGCATATGAACCTGTAGATGATAATAGACAAGGCCCATATAGAATGAGAGCTAGTGTCAAAGAAGGTCTTTTTGAACAAATGGGTGAAGCTGAGATTGGAGGAATTTCTGAGGAAGAAAACGAAGCAGCAGAATCAAGTGATGCCGAAGTGAGAAAGGAAGGTGAGGACGCTGTGTCAGCAGTGAAAAGCACTGATTTTGAAGCTAGTGATTTGGATGGAGATACAATACATGGTGAGAAATCCAGTTTCCATGAAGACATCAAAACAGAGAGTCAAACTGAGTCTGCAAGTGCAGACAAACAGGAGGAAGCTTTCCCAGGATCAGCCTCTACTGGGTACAGTCTCAGTAGAGGTGGAGAACCTGGATCTGAAAAACAGGTGGAGGAAGAGGAATTTAGCCTGGGTAGAGAGCCTGATACAGAAACCAATAGGGAAGAAGATTATTGTATCTCGGACAGAGAACCTGGCTCAGAAGGGCAAGTCAGTCAAGAGAAGGACAACTGGATTGCAGAGGCAACCAACACAATTTCAGGACCAACACCTGAAGCTACAACCATGACCTCAGAAGACAGAGCTGTGGCAGACATGGACATCATTGCTTCAAAACAGGATGCTCCAGTTACAGAGGTTGTGAAAGAAACTCCTGCAAGAAAAGAGAGTTTTTCTAGGCGGCATGGCAGCCAGTTTGGCCACCTGACAAACTCAGAGACAAGACTGCAGGATGAGGATCTTCTGCAAGATCAAGGTAAAGGTAAAGCATTCTCCTTTATTCTGGCAGACCTTAATCTTTTTCAACATATACATTTGAACTGGTTTAATTATAGGTGTGTTTTTAATCCATTTATCCATTTCAAAACTATTGAAAGCATATGAGTGATTCTGAATACACAAGATGATAAGCTTTGATATCTTCTCAGCATGGTGTCTTCTGCCAAGGTTTCAGAGTGTGTTCCTCTTACAGGACAGCAGGTGAGTCACTTTGCTGCTGATCTGTACTCAAGGCACTGAGCAGACACTTTAATTCAAGTAGGGACTTTCTGAAGCAGCAGCATTTTTATAATAAGGAGAAACTTTATGTTCTGTTTCACTCTGTAATATTAGTAGCAAGACAGGAGCCTGAGCACATTAAATATAGAAATGACTTTTAATAATTTTTAGACTGTGATTGCCCATAGGGAGATATATTATGGGACCACATATCAGGAACCTTTTATTTTAATCTCTCATTGTGTTTCCAAAGGAATATCATACTTAATTGTGTACAAAGGCCCTTGTTCTAGGAAGGCTGTGGTCGGGCAACTGTGTGTTTCATACGAGGTACTTTCTTAAACATACTAGAAGGACCAACTTCCTTGCTAGCACTCTGTGAATACACTCTTGTGTCTCACAGTTTAAAACACTGCAAGAACTGGGTCTACATTGCCAGAGCAGTCTAGTGACAGACTTACTACATAAAGAGCTGTAAAGCTGATGGTACAGCCTGCTGGTACCTACAGCTTTCCGTGGTTAACTTGCAGTGCACAGCACCAACTTGTCATTCAGCCAGTCCCTGGATGCGCCCATGCCGCATTGTTTGGGGCATGCAGTACTTCCATCTTCAGAGCAGATTCCCACCCTGTTCTTGCAGAAACAATGGTGTGATGTTACGATGCTCTTTGAGAGAAAGATGGATGGAAGCAATATTATTTTGAACCTATCTTGGAAAAAAGTTATCTTATTGCTTTTGCTAAAATGGGTATTTGTAGCTGGGCTTAAGAAATGTAACATTCACCAGGTGAATTTCAGGAAGCAGTATTTCCAGACAGTAAAAATAAATAGCTACTGATAACAAAGGTAACTCCAGAAATGCAGAGGTAGATTTTACATATTCATCAGCAGGGTGCTCAGACTAGTAAGCTCTGGTTCACAGATTTCTTTTTAAAATTGCAGGTCCAGCACACTCAGACAGACAGGATTCTCCAGCTGAAGCTAGCCAGGAGTTTGAAGTGCCATGGTCAGGTGACTGCTCATGTCAGCTCTTTTCATTTGCTTTAGAAACTATAGCTTGGATATATGTATTTAAAGGCTTCTATAAAAGCTGTATCTTGTGTCTTTTTTAAAAGCTTCTATCATTACAAGGTATATTTTATCTTTTATCAGGTGACCTTCTGACTTCCGACCTAAGTTGCAGGTATAGCAGCTTCGGAGAGAGAATTCTAGAGGACTGGAAGTGTGAGAACACTAAATTTCCAGGTATTTGGTCATGAAGTTGTGTGTTCACTTGGGCACATAGTGGCTGGCAGTGTCTGCAGACATGCCGGTACTGCTGTGGGCTGAAAGTTTTGGCAAGAACACAAAACACTAATTCCTGAAGCTGACTTCAAGATAAGAGCAGTGTAGTCTTTGTCTCAGAAGGCTACTTGGTGTGTTACAGTAATTTCAGCTCATCTGTATTCAGTGATTTGACCTGGTTGTATGATAAACATCCATGCTAGACTGGAGCATAAATCTAAGAGATACTATTAGAAAAGTATAAGCAGATTAAGGCCTTTAGTCAGCATGGAGTCAGTCTGTACTCAGCCGTAATTTCACTGGATAGGAAGTGCAGGATTCAGGACTGCGTTGATATCTGCCACGTGGCCGGCTTTAGGGCAGCATTTGGCTTCCTGCGACACACTGTGCTTTCTGCCTTTCAGACTTACGTCCCATCATGGCAGAGATTCAGAACCGTTGGGCTTCTCGTACTAGGAGTGCCTTTGATGAAAGCTGCCTCAACCTGCCACAGTTTGTACAGCTCATGGAGACATTTGTTGGTGAAGACATTTCTCTGCCTATTGTGAAGAGGCTTATTGCATTTATCAAAGAAGAATACAAACAGACAGAAGAGGAAAAAAGGGAACAACTAGAAAAAGTAAATATTGATAAGTTTTGCTGTTTTGTCCAAACAAAAAACAAGCAAATGCCTACAGACACTGACAAAGTTAACTTTTAATCTCATGCTGGCAGAGCTATTCACTTGCAGCCTTGCATTCTGTTTCTTCAAGAGACTTTTTACCCCTTTGTTTTCATAAGGAACCTCCCTCCCTAGCCCTTAGCTCTAGAAGTGATGACAGACTTATCCTGTAAGAGGTTGTCTCTGTTCTAGAGCCGGACTCAGTGAGACAGCAGGTTGACAGTCAATTATGAAAGAGCTCAAAACATTCCATTCTGCTTATTCACCTTTATAATAGCCAAGAACCTAATCTCTGACCTACTGCACTGTACATATGAGGTTGTGGATGTTTTGGGGAGGATTTTAAAACAAGAGTGTTTGGTTTTGCTATGTGCATGGCTGTATGTGAATATGCATATGCTTCTTTGTGTTTAAGTTACAAGGTGCTCTTGCCATGTGTTGAAAAAATACATTCCCCTTCAGCAATATCCTCATGCATATCATCAGGGTGCCCCATATCACTTCAGAGTACAGATATATTTTGTGGTGGGTCTGTCCATAGTAGCCTCTTTAACTGCATTTTCCTCAGACCTCTTTCTGGTTTCCCTCTGTGCTGCTGACCTAATTGGGATGAGATATTGGATCTGACGGCTCTACTGTCCTCACACTGAACACAACACACGCTGCCAGTATTTTGGCCTTTGAGAGAATTCCACTCCAGCCATTTGTCACTGTATGCTGTGCAAAGACTGGGTTTAAAGGACAAATTGTACATGCATTTTCTTGGAGCCCACACACTTCAGGGCAGCACCAGCAAAATAACAATGTACGGAAATACAAACTGTCAAATCTTTGGTGTTACTAACAAGGCTGTGGTTAGCTCTTGCTAGGAAGACATTTGTATTCTGGGAAACTTCCACTAACCTGAGTTGATCTCACCTTAGATCCGGTGTGCACTTCATTTGTTCACTGGGAAATAACCCTTTGCAGTGCTTATTCTGCCTGGTAAAACTGAACTGTCGGCTGTGCTTAGTGTTTCCAAATATCTCCCAGGTTTAATGATTCATCTCCAGGTCTGAGCTGTGTATGTACAGATTTGGCCTGGCCCATAGGAATTACGTGATCAACATACCACTACAGTTTCCATACTTGTGTAGACACTGAGCGTCAGTGTCCAGGAATTATCAAAGACCAGCTGTTTCTCCACTATAGGTTCACCTCATCTCTCGCTTGGCCCAACGGAAACTGCTTCTGGAGGCACTTTTCGAAAAGTGGGACAACAGTGCATCTGGGTTTCTGGACCTGGAAGAAGTGGATGCTGTTCTAAGCACATTCAAGGAAGGGATGGAAAAAGAAGCCTTGAGGAAGGGTAAGGAGAGAGCTCTGCTCCGAGAGAACAATGTCAACACAGTAGGCCTTGAACCATTCAACAACAGTGTTAATGAAGTTGTTGGCAAGCACCAGCCATTTTTTGGTTTTGCGAGCAGTCATAAGCATACAAGGTGTGATGTGTAAAATGAAGAGGAACAGTTATCCAGTCCTACTTGTTAAGGCATAGCTCCATCCCCTCCTCCTGTGCGAGACTCCCCTGCAACAGATTCCCAGTCAGAGAGGTAGCCCAATGCTTTCATGACATTGTGATGTGTTGAAAAATTATTTCAGCTGTAACATGCAATATATACTGATATGGCAGTGAAAAACAGACGTAAAGCCTGAGGACACGTTTCGCACTTTTAGTCTAGCCTGTCTGTGTTATCCAGCTATTTTTAATAGACACATTTTACTGCGCTGTCTGCAGGAACATACCTCATAGGAGAGAACACCAGCTTTCCTTATGGGTGTCTAATGGCCTTTAGTAATCCACACTGTCGCACAGCTCTCATGAATTAGATAGCAACTTCAAGTCTCACTTCTCTGTTGCTTCATTTCTCCGAATAAACTTATCAAATTTGGTCCTTGACAGAAGAGACTTGGGTCAGACAAAAGTGCTTCACCTGGACCTGTCTGGCAGCCTCATGCATATTAACATGTGGGCATTCGGTGCTCTGAAATACTGTATTAGCAATTAAGAACGTGTCTGCATGTGCGCTTGGGTGGAGAGGACTGGTTTACTCATCTCCATGCATATCTTCATGTTGCTTGTTCTGCCACAGATTACTGAAAATGGCTCATTTTGGCAACAACCAAAACCTGCTTATTCTTTAGCTCACTTGAGGCAGCTGGTAGGGTGGGGAGTGCACCGGCGTGCTGCAGTTAATTGTCTCCAGGCTGCACAGCCACAGAAGAAACTGGCAATTTACAGCTCTCTTGTATTCAAAGCATGCCAGAACACACTACAGAAATATGGAAGGACATAGTCCCTTCCATGAAGGGCTCATAAACTAAAGGACAAATAAATAGAAAGATAGCATAGCGAAATCAATATCACCTACAAGCAACATAAAACTATTTCTAGCAGCTTCAATCTAATCTTTCAAATACATCGTAGAACAATCAGGTTTGGGGGAAGCGTTCACAGACATTGCACTCCTCCTGGATGAAAACACAGAATGAAAAGTGGGTAGAATTATTTGATTTTCCTTGTAAGTGAAAAGCATAACATTACAGAATATAATGGGGAAAATAATTCATTATGCTGTGGCTCAGTAATGAAGGCACTGATCATGCCATATTCAACTTCATGTGTATTTCTTTCTTCATCTCTTTCTTCAAAGAGAGGAAAAAGTGGAGGTGAAAATCCAAACATTTTTATACCATCAAAAAATTCTCCATCCTACTTCTGTCAGAAAATCAGAAATTAAATTTTAAAAATACTGCATGTTCTTTAGATGATGGGCAGGATAAGACAGCATTAACAGTCAGCTCCACCATGACTGGGGCAAGGTAGTACTTCTGTAGATAAAAAGCCAGTGATAAAATGCTCCCTGACTTCTGCGGGGGAAGGAGGAGGCTCTCAGCTCCCATAAATATCAGTGTCTTGGGTGCACTGGGAGGCAATCAGGGCAGCTCCTTGCCTGTTCCTGTGCATCATTAATCAAAGCATTTCCTATTACACTGTTCCTTATAGCCCATTGTATGTATTGATCACAAAATACTTTGTGCTTAACAGCAAAGTCACACTTCTACCTATATATCTTTGCTTGCTTCGTTTGCTAGTAGGAAGCAGCTTGACGTATAGCTCTCTTTCCTTTTCTTTACTTCTTCGGGTCCAGCAGGATTTGCAGTCAGGATGCAGAAAAAAAATGATGAAAGTGTTAGTCATGAGAGGCACAGCCAGGAGCATGACCAGGCAAGCCCAGCTTGGGCAGAGCACCCGGTGAATCCCGGGCTTCCAACGCCGGGAAGCTGCCTGCGAGTCCGAAAGGCTGTGCAAGAGCACCCCCGTGAGCCCAGAGCTGTGCTGTGGGGGAGTCTTGGAAGAACTGGGACAGGGCTTGAACTACGCTGTTAAGACTGGCTGCTGATTTAAGTAACATCTGGATAGAACTCGATGGGGTAAATTTACATTTTCATGCTCAGTCTGTTAGGATTACAAGTCTGAGTCCCATTTGTCTTCAGGAGCAAATTGGAGGTTTGTGAACTAGAGTAGATACAGGAAAGCGATTCTTGAGAATCACAATTTGACCCTTGTGGCATTCCTCATTCCTCCTTCCTCCAAGCAGAAGGAAACTCTGCCAGACCTTTCTACTGCAGCTTATTTGCCCGTATTTGGGCCAGCTCAGCTGCAATCTCTGGGGCATGAAAAAGGGGACTGGGGCACGGCTCCACTCCCCGGCCCTGTGCAAGATGTGAAGGAGCAGCCTCTGTGCAGTGATCTTTACTCCTTCACTCCCCTGAGAGCTAATAGGCAGCACTTCACTGTTTTAGATGTTTTTCATATTAATTTATTCTTCTAAACCCCATATTTCTTATAAAAGCTCTCTTGCTCCTTTTGCTCCACATCTACATCACTCGGTGCAGTACTGGTGATTCCAGAGCACTGTTGTCCCGACCTCTGTACGACTTCAATAGAGCTTTCGTTTTCTTTGCTCTTCATTTATGAGATTTAGCACAATACAAAAGTTATTTCAATAATTCATCAAAGGCACCTAAAGAAGGGTAATTAAGAATGATAGTTACTTCAAAAGAAAAATATAGTATCTGCAAGTATGGTATATAATGGAAAATCCAGGAATATGAGTGATCTGTGAAATCATCTGTGGACTCTGGCCTTCACATTTTTAATGGGATTGATGAATAGTTTTTCTGTAAGGTCTCAACTTCTATTACTGTATGCAGAATGCCTACCTGCAGCCCAGTCCCACCAGCCCCTCAAGTGTCCATAAAATTTGGTTCTGATGTGAAGATACGTCTGATTTTTTATAACTCCAAGCAGCTTTCCTATTTTCCATTGACCTTTATTATTTAGGTGTGTTGCAGAGGTACAAAAGGGGCACAGGAGCAATGCCTTGCAGGTTTCTTTCTCAATAGGTGAGAAAGCAGGCATCTAGAGGAAAAGGTGCATCCAGTCTGGAAGCTAAAGTTGTCATGATGACAACTTACATTTAGGAGATAGCTCGAAGAAACCCAGAATGATGGACTGCAGCACTCCACCCAAAGCCAGTTTAGGGTTTGATTCATATTTTGCACAAGAAAAGCAGAACAGTTTATTCAAATAGACTGTCCCTGACTTATTTTCTGTTTCTTCTACTAGCAAAGAAACACCTTTGCTCCCGTTACCCACAGCTCAGCAGAGTGGGGAAGCTATCCCCAAAGGCATTCCAGACTTTGCTTGAGTTAGTTGCTTCTGAGTTCACTGGCGACGAGGATGAATCTATGGATAACTTGGTGGAATTTCTGACCACAAGTGTGGAACAAAGTCGCATGAAGTGCTTGCAAAGCTTAACCAGGAGGAAATGGCTGCATGATATCCAGCAAGCAGCTGAGACCAGTGGAGCGAGCATGGAACCGGTTTACAAAGCAGTGTTTAAGGCCCTCTCCCAGGTACGCATGCCAGGGAGCACTTGTGTTGGGATTGTGGCACTGACTTCAATCCCTGGTGCATTTGAGTGGAACTCACAGGTAGCATGAGACGCTGGTCTGAGGCTGGTTTCCTGGTGCTTTTCTGCACTTAGTTGATGCTCAGGAGAGCCCATGGTTATGCACAGAAAGAGTCACAGGTCAGATCTGCAATACAAGAATTCTCATCCATGCTCTGCCAATACAGAATGCATTTCATGGATACTTATGTCTCACTTTTTGAAGAGCTGACTTGGATCAAATTTGGAAATCCATAGTTCTAGTTTTAGAACTTCTGAAATGAAACACACCAGACTCAGTTTGGGACAAAGATGGTTAATTTTTAGTGGCGATATAGTTTAATTTTTAACTTGCAGCTGCAACTTTAGATGTTTGTCCTCACCATTAAAGCCCTCCTCAAAGCAAAACTTCTCTCATAGTAGCTGAAGTGTTCTTACAATATTTAGGTTTGTAAATGTAGCAACTCTGGCACTTGTTTGTCTGATTTTTCCAAAGGAATCTCCTATTGGAGAAGAAATCCATAAGAGTTTTGCTTAGGCACAGGTTATAATTAGGGATTATTTTTATATGAACTGCTCCCCATTAGCAGCAGGAAAAAAGAAATCCATTTTCCTTGCCAACCAAACTACAAAGTGGTTTTGCATGTAACAGAGCGTACCGGTCAGAAACGATCACGGCATAGACACATACATGTCATGCAGCCGGTGCGTGACATACAAAATCAGTGAACCAGAACAGCATCTCAGCAAAAAATGAGACAAGTGCTAAGTACATGAAATAAGTGTAATAGCCAATGGCTAATGTACATAATGTAATGGGAAACATTTGGTTGCTAGGATGCAGAAGCCCATGGGGATAACAAGAAGATCAGTGCATATATTGCCCTTTTGGAAGAAAACCAGCTCTCGCCAGAGCGGGGACAGATTCTCCTACACTATGTGGCATGTACCACAGATGATGCTCCGTATGTTCTAAACCAGATACTTTACAGAGACATGAAAGGAGTAAGGTAAGAAAAGCTGCAAATAACTGATCCTTCTTCTCAAAAATATTGGGATGTAGGGCTACCAGGCAGTGGTTTGGGGTGCACTGGAAACAGAGGTTGATAGAGTACTCCAGAGGGGAAATCTCCTCAGGGACCGTTATGGAATGATTCATTATATACATGCCCTTATACTTTGCATGGTCTACTTAGACCTGCTCTGTTTGGGATTTCACTCCTTTCCTTGGGGAGATTAGCTCACAGTCTAATAAATCTCATCCTTTAGCAAAAGTCTATTATACTGGGCCTACATTTTATTCTTTAGAAATTAATTCCCCTACACCGGTTTACATCCACAGGATATTTTTTGAGAACAATGCCTTTCCTTCCCTAACGTTTACAGTATAAACAGTTTTCATGCCTCTTTACTTCTCGTTTCCAAAAGCTGGACATATTTGTCTCTTTCTTTAAATATTGCTTCTTCTAACCTATTAAATGTAACTGCTGCTCGCTTATGTATTCCCTTTCATTACATTCATTAGTTGATGTTTAAAATGTCCTAAGGATGAAAAGTGCCTTATTTATTACCACTGTCTTTGGGATGCAAGTGGTAAATGTGGTATTCCTGGGTGTGGTCAGAATAAGGAGCTAACACCTTCCTTCTCTGATGCCAAAAAGCAGGGAGAGATCAAAGCTGCAGTATTTATTGCTTTGCTAAAGGTTTTCTGCTGCTCTGAACAAACCTCCTCATAAATTTGTTCTTCAGCTTTGCAGCTGTTGAAGAGGGAAAGCCAATCCATGTTCCAAGAGTTCAGTTCCATGGAAATATCCACTTCTGGAACACTGACCGCCCAGTGGAGGAAAGAAGAGGTTCACTCCTGGTACTGCCATTGCACGATGCTCGCTGGAGAGTCTTTGGCATTCTAGGACTCGACACTCTTCGGGACCAGTGTGAGAAAACCATCTTTCTGACCCATGAGATCAGTTTCTATCAGGTGGGCACCATCAGAAAGCAGTTTGTTAGACGACTCTTCAAAAAGCTGTGTAGGGACCATGTGAATTTTACATGTTTGTTCTGAGTAAACACAACTAAGAAAAGTTGCGGGCCCCTTTTTAGTGTATATGGTAAAAATGGTGTGAGCAGAACACCTTATCAATATCTTATTGATTAGCATCTTATCCGTAATTGATGATGAGGTATCATTTCATCAATAATTTATTTAAGTGTCTCCTGACTAGTAAATTAGTAGCACTTTTGTGCAAAGCCCAAAGATAGTAGCTTTTATTTCCTGAAGCTCTGAACCTCATAGTTGTGTCTGTTTCCATAAAGTGGCATGAAACCTTACTTTTTACATGGTGGACTAATTATAAGCAACAGCAGTCCGGATTTCTTTGGGATGCTCTTTAGAATCAGCCTCACTGTGGGTGCATCATCTGGGCAGCAGGGAGCGCAGCAAGCCAACATTACCAGTCAATTTGGCTATCTCCACTAAAAACCAGCTTTGCCTAGTTTTGGACTTGGCTGTGACCCAGGTACTCTGGACCATTAGAGCATTATTTGATAAGGGACATTTCACAGTCACTTTTCAGCTTTACAAGTTCTGATTAAAGCAACTTGTTACAACCATTTTGCTTCATTTTGCTGCATGAAAGTTTCCCCAGCTTTTTCCCCAAATCATATGGAACTGTCTGGCTCATTTGGAGGATTCTGCTTTCACAGGGGGTTTCTCAGGCATTCAGCAAAGCCTACCACCATGTCTGCAGATTGGAAAATGTTCTACAAATGACTGTTACTGCTCTGGACTGGTTGCATCCCAGGGCACCCAGCATCCACACCGTTATTACGTACCTGGTGGAGCCTGGCAAAGACAAGGTACACATATTACTGCAGTGAAAAGGCCTGTATTAGTCAGGGGCTGACAAGGCTATTTTAGTAAGGACCTGCCATTTCTAGCTGCCTGTGATTTCACAGCGGTTTTATCATAAAAACTGAAGCCTGCCTGAGGTTCTTGTGCCTGCCTGTGCAACAAAAGGGCTACAAAGGTAAAGAGGGAAGGTACCCTCTGTAAAGGAGGCCACTCTTCATTCTTTTCATCCTCCCATGTAAAACAATTCAAGAGCACTGCTAGTATAGCTCCTTCTCCATGGGAAATGGGAATATTCTCCTACTTCAATGTTCATAGCTGCATAGCAACCAGTAGAGCAAAACCCCACACCCATCCATCCATCTGTAGGTTAGCCAACACAGCAAATCCCTGCTAAAGCTTTGCTGGTTGGGACCTCCACAAAATGAGATGCTCTTCTGTGGAGATTCTGTGCATGTCAAAATTATGGTATTTTATTGGAAAAAAGAATGTCCTAGCTAATGTATTAGCTTTTCATTCTGAACTAATGTCAGCAGCCAAGACATAAATACAACTCAGGAAGTGGCTGCTCCCCATTAGCTAGCTTGTACAGGCAGCCCCACTCCCTGCAGATCATACTCCAGTTGTTGAGCAGGCACTTGGGCCCTGGGAAGCTTGTCACTTCAGATGCAAGTGAGTTAAGAAGACAAAAAGTGTATGCAATATTTAGGACTGATCCTGTGTCATCACAAAGTCTGTATGACATCTGCTGTAGCCATAATTCAGCTGCTTCCTCTGATAAGCACAGTTTATGTTGGCAGCTTTCTGTTGTCATTCCAGGCTCCGCTCTGTTCCCTTGTTAGCTGTCTGATAGCCAGGGTTTTGCTCCCCTCTGTGCTTTTCACGTGTCAAGGCACGCTGACACAAACATGACATGAGAAAGAGGACCGCAAGGGGATGGGAAAAAGAAGGGAAACCTCTTCTTGGCCCGTGGGTGTTCCTCAGCGGGGAGCCTGGGGATAGATTAAATAGTCTGGCTGAGGGAGATCCAGGGCATATTCTTCATGCATCTTGAGCAATACACTCTGGGAATAAAACCAAGCATTGTTGGGAGATGTCTTTAAACCGTTCCATTGCACTTGAATGTACATAGCAGTTTCCTTTAAGAAATAAACAATTTCCTCCCTCTCCAAGCTTCAAAATGGCTGTTCCTTTCTTGGATGCAGCTAAACCTCCCTTTTCTCTCTGGCAGATATGTGACTATGCTCTGCGCAAGGTGATTACTACAGATAAGACAGGACAAAAAGAAATTCATAGCTCTCCTGTTCTTCTCCTCAGAAAAGAAAACCTCTTAAGGTAGGCTCCAGCACCTCCAGTTGAACTAGTTACCTCTGGTCCTAGACTCTAGCCTGCGTCAGGCATGATCCACGTTACATAAAGCCCATGGTAATGCAACCCTGCCAGAGTGTCTGGCTGTAGCTCTCTCACTATCAAGGCTTCTGGTGTGTATGCATGTGATACTGAATTATGAAGGGGTGAGGAGTATTTTCTCTTTGAGTTTAGGCCTGCAAAAACTTAACTTCCAACTTAATGCTCACCAGCTGAGCTGCCAAACAAGCTCTACATCTGCTGTGAAAGGTTTGCAGGATTAGAGCCTACACTGAAGCATTTTGCTCTTTAGAATAATTTGTCTTTTTTCCTGGCCATGTTAGTCTCATTTCCTTCAACTATCTGTTTCCTTTCACTGTCAAGATCCTCACACACTTGTCTTTTAAGCCTATCATCCTTGTCATCAAAGTTCATTGAATAGCCATTTGCTGTTCCAGCAGATGTTTTTACTTTTTATAAAACTTCATAGAACAAATGTCAATGTGGTTATAAACAGGAAACTGGTTTTAAAGCAGGACTACAACCTAATTTGGGTTCGCTAAATTCTTATGATTTTCAGCAATTGCCTTGGCTAATCAGTATTTTGTTCCACAGTGCTATTTTATCCTTTTTGTATATGGCTTGAATGATACTTAAAGCTGTGCATATTTCAGTTCAAGGAAATAAACTATGATTTAGTAATGTAATACCTTTGTTTTAACAACAAGAAATGAATGGCATCTTACTAAAATATGCTAAATAAATTACCAAAAGAAACCAGAATGGTAAAGCCCAGTACATTTTCCTCTCTTTACTCTCATTTCAGAGTTTACCTATTTAAGTGCATAGACAGTTCAGAGGTCATTCACACTTCTGTCTGTGGAGAATACCACATTGCAGTACCTCTCCGTGACCTATCAGGACAAGCTCTTGGGATATTTGATATCAGCATCGGACACCACCAGAAATTACCACCTCATGAACACAAAGACCTGCAGAAAATGCTAAAGATGGCCCAAGCTGCCTGCTCTGAGATACTGAAGATGTCTTTAGAGGAAACAGAACCAACCTATGTACTGGGTATTGTGCATACAGAGCCAAGATAGGTTTTTTAGGGGTGAAATTAGGAATCTCAGTAAAACCACATCTAAAGTATCATTCCTACAAGTATTGAAAGACAAATACAAACCTTTGCTACACGTAAACTACTCCTGAGCAAGCGTAAGTGCTTAGCAGAATACGGTTAAACAGAACATTTAGATTTTGACTCTGGTTCACAGGATATTTTATGCCCAATTCCCACTGAAGTCAAAGGTGTGAAGCAAGGTGCTTTGTTGTATCAGGGATCTCACATGTGCTCCTCAGAACTGCCCCAACTAAGATCAAAAGAATTTGAATGTCACAGTTCCAGAATTACCTGCACGCTTGAACCGTTCATGGACTCGGGACCTCTGCTTGCCCCTGAGGCAAGTTTTGTCTCCTTCTCAAGCACATACCTGTTTTTAAAAGTTTCATAGGATACTTGGGCAGTATACTAATCAGTCACTAATCAATCAAGGAGACAAAGAGTTAATCATAAAGAGGCAGAGCCTTTCAGTCAATAACATAAGTTTTGAGTACCAGTTGTTTCTGAGAAACTTCTTGAAAGTTTTGCTTTTGATTCCAGAGGCAGAACACGTGGCAAATTTGAGGCATGCAGGGATTCTGTTCCACCGGCTCATGCTGCAGGATCTGCGCCAGTGTGTCCAGAAACTGGATGCTGGGAGCTTTGCTGAAATAAAGAGCTATGTAGAACCACCAGCTCTGGTACATAACATAGTTAAGGCTGTGCTGTTGCTTCTCCATCCAAACTGGAAGGGCTCAGAGAAGACTGAGAACTGGAGTCAGTGTATACTGGTGAGACTTCAAAATATTGAGACTTTGTTTTCTGTTCTTCCTCCCCCAAGAAGATATAGTGGAATTTGCCAAGTGTGAATTGGCAGTGAAATAATTCATTACCTACAGATTTCCTATATGCTTGATCTAACCATCTTTAATTCTGTAACCCTCTCTAACGTTTTTCACTGCCACCTGACTCTTTTTGTTCTCTGCATTGCAGAAACTTGATGACAATTTGATTCAGGAGATTTATTGCTTTGATCCAACTGCTGCATCTGTGCAAGTTCAAGCAGAGCTCTTGTTGGACTGCATCACTGGTAAATATCATAAACTAATTGTGACATTACCAGACACAGCTCAGCAATGAAACAGTGTCAGTGGCAACCTTCAGCTGAGTGCTTTTAAGGTCCTTACTTCAGAAATTAACTTTGATTTCACAATAGATTAAACAACAGATAAGGGGTCCTAAATATCTGCAGTCTTTTTTGGTCAATAAAAGTCAACCTGTTAAATTTAGAATCAAAATTCACTGCCTTAAGGAAAGGGGAGCAGATCAGCTTTGAAATGTACCAGAACAAGTGATCTCATTGTAAACCCCCAGATAAACATATTAAGAATGAAGGTTCTTTTGGCAAGTAATATGTAAAGACATATTAAGAATGATGGCTCTTTTGGCAAGTAAATCTACTTCAGACCTCTGTGCCCTGCCCAAGGGACTAACCCAGCTCCAAACAGCAACATGATTGTGGGAGGACAGTGTGAGCCCTCCTCTTTGTAAACACCATCTGCCAGTGAGTATATATATATTTTATATATATATATAATATACAGGAACTGGGTTTCAGTCTGTATTTCTCTCCTTTAATGAATGTGAGCTTTTTTGGTGCCAGAGCAGTCAAGAGGCTATTATTATTTGTAATATCTCTGCAAGAGAAATGACTGCTGTTCTTGTTGAGATCTTTCCCTTGATGATCTAATGCCAGACTGAGAGGTCTGTTAAAAATCAAATGTACACAAGACTTGTTAATTTAGCTGGGGATATTTATCAACAGTACCCTGCCTACTGATGAACAGTGAACACTTAATGCAGTCATAGCTGTTTTTCATGTGTTCTCCTCGTATATATTAAACTAATTCACTGGAGAGAATGAAGCAGGCCTAGAGCATCCAGTCTTCCTCCAGTTAAGGACCTAGATGTAACCACAAGAACACAGCTTTGGCAAACTGCTGGTATGCTACAAAAGGTTGGTTTCCCAGGATGGAACTTACTCTGAGAGAGTAGTAACAGATCAGTGGTGTGAATACAAGTACAACTCACAATTATAGGAATTCCTTTAAAATGAACATCAGTGTTTACACATGGTATATATTGGATAATGCCCATATGTTCCATATACATGTGCTGTAATATAGAAGAGAGCGCAAAACAACCTACACTCTATCGACAGAGCAACCTTTAATGGTATGATTCTGTGGTGACCTTTAATAGCATTTAGTAAGAGAGCTTTGAAGGATATTACTCTTAAATCAAATCTGAGCTTGGAAAAAAAACACTTTTCTCTTTACATTTTTAATTATCAAATGTTTAGCATTAAAATATAGCAGAGCACTTCGTACAAAGAGGGGACCTACCACAATACAAAAGAAATTACAACAAAAAGGCAGCACTCCTGTGCTTGACCATGCACTGTCACAATAATGCTGTGTGCTTTTCAAAGCATCACCATTTTCCAGGGCGGAATTACTGGACTCGGGGAAAACTCCACTGACGGGATGATCTTCTCTGTTTGGGCTTTTAAAAACACCGGTCACAGTTTTGACATGGCTTTTGGAGTTACCTGTCTTCTTTGTTTCAGGTGCACCTAGAGCGGCGGTGTGGCAGCACGGCTCAGTTCCCGTCGAGTACCTGTACAACTGGGTACTCGCCTGCCTGTCACTAGCAGAGATCACAAGTAAAAAAGCTCCATCTTTAGCCCCTTTTGGTATCCAATTCTAGCGTGCCTCCAATTAAAGCTCCTGTTCCTCATCTAACCTTACTGATTCTGGTATTTGACATCTTTTATTAAATTAACTGGTTTTTATTTTTTATGCATAGCCACTAAGTATTTGTTGTTAAGATGGCAAGAAGTCTCTTAGGGATTATTCAGAAAATAGCAATACAAACATTAAAGGAAACAATTTTGCTAGTATAGCTACTACATTTTAAAAGCTTGATTAAAGGTTTTTGAGGTTTTTTTTAAATTAATTTTGATGGGAAAAAGAGAGAGGCAGCGACAAGTTTATGACTACCAAGCTACAATGCTCATAAATGACACAGCAAAAATTTTCAAGATTCAGTCTCCTTAAGTTACTTTTTAGGAATAATTTTAAGTAAAGGTTATTAGCATTTTCTCAAGTTCTTCTAAATGTGTTGCGGAAAAGCCCTTCATTTTTAATACAGAAAAAAAAGCTTTCTTATTGGGATAAAGCTTGAGATTACAGCCAGCTGCACTGTCTGCAGCGAGATTTCATCATTCCAATAACGTTTCTTTTGGTAGAATCACTTTTTTAATAAAATTTTGGGAAATTAAACTCCCCTTTCTTCAGTCGGCAACAAGCGACGTCTCCAGGTAGGTGATAACTGACGGGGGCAGGGTGGCTTCTCAGCGCCCCGAGGGAGCGGTGGCCACC